CTTCTTCTTCTTCTTTCTTCTTCTTCGAACCAGGGATTGAACTCAGGCCCTTGCGCTTGCCAGGGACATGTTTATTCCACTGAGCCATCTCCCTGGCCACAATACTGCCTGTTTAAACCTCAACAGTTAAACAGGGTGTTTCCTTGAGTAATTCTCATCTCTGTCCTAGAGCTTCAAGTTGACAAACCCAGCCTTGACTAATCTACATGTCTTTCCCTCCCATGGGATAGTTTGGACTTCTGACTGAATGCCATTCTCTTGGCAGAAGTGTCTGTCCCTGAGAGTCACTCCTCTTTAATGCTCCCATATGACAAGGGCTTGGAAGAGGAGACAGAAAACACGGACCTGTTATAGCCCATGTTTAGACCTGTTTAAACTCTAACCTTCAACATCTAAAGCTCCACCACTCCACAGCTATGTGACCTCAGGCAAGTATTTTAATCTCTCCGGACCCCAGTTTGTCCATCTGTAAAATGGAGAGATTGATAACACCTCCTAGGCAGGTATGGTGACGCAAGCCTGCAATCCCAGCACTGGGGAGGCTGAGGCAAGAGGATTGCTGCAAGTTAGAGGCCAGCCTGGGCCAGCCTGAGCTACATAGGGAGATCTTGTATAAAAAAACAAACAAAAAAAACCCAATTATTTCAGACTACCTAATGTTTCAACAGGAAAGCGTGCTCTAGGATCAAGTTGGCACAAGGCCACGTGGTAAAAAGAGTTGCAATTCCTCGGCTCTGCCAAGGTGCCACGAAAGAAGACAGAGACAACATGTAAGTGAACAAGTGTGGCTGCATTACAGTAAGACTGTACTTACAAGACCGGTGATGGGCTCGGTTTGTGGCCCCCTGATTCGCAGAAGCAGGTCGATTCTAGGCTCCTTGCTGAGGCCCTATAGGTCCCTGTTCCGTGGCTTCCCTCACCTCAGTTTTCCTTCTGGGTAATGGAGAGACTGATTCCCTGCCCTGATCAGGGGTTACTGGGCGGTCAGATGAGCTCACCACAGCTCCGGCCCTCAGGGAGAAGGAGCCGAGGCATCTTGAGTCTCTGGAGAGTCTTTGATGCAAAACACGTTGTTGCTTCTGCTGAGGTCTGCGGGGAGATCCAGGACCCCAGCCAGCAAGTGCGTCCTGGGCACCTAGGTGCCGGGGGCTGTCTCAAAGGACGACAGGACCCACAGGCACGGCAGCACCTGTGGCCCCTGCCTCCCGGAGGAACGAAGGTGAGGGGCCCCAAAGAAGCCTCCAGTGGGCTGTGCCACTGTGATCAGGCCTGCTACCCCGACCACTCATGCCGGGGGCCCAAAGTGTCCTCTGACCCCAGCGTCCTTTATTCAGCACGCTGGACTGTGGCTCTGCTTCCTCTGCAGTGGTTACTTTG